ATGAACGCATTGTGAGTGGACGCGTCCCTGTCGACGTGGGAAAGAACAGCCGAGGAGCGAAGGGCAGAGCTGTGGCACTCGGGACGAGGCGCAGGACCACACGCGTGGGGGTCGCCTGCCTGACCCCGAGAAACCCCTGCACCTGTCTCTGCCTCAGCTGCGCCCTCATGTGTCAAATGGGAGTGCATCCCTGGGGGGTGGCTGCGAGGATTCGGGGAGATGCTGTGAGTTGAGGGTGGCCCTGCCGAGTGCATGAGGTTTTGCTTCTGGGGGGACCTGGCGCTGGGGGCGCTGGGCTCCCCGCCTGCTGAGAGGCTCGGCCTTCCCGTCTGTCTGACCATGATGGCTGCTGGGACTGCCTCCTTCCACAAAACCCTCAGCGGAGATACCAACTTCTGAAATACTGAGGCACTAGAAATAAAAAAGCTAATGTGCATCAGGCTAGCACACAGACCTGAGCTGGGAAAAATCAAGTCCGTACCCCTCAGTAATTCACAGTCACCAGAAAGAGCCTGTAATCTTCTTCCTTTGATGCTATGTGAATTCTATATGAAACCTTTGGGGATTATCCAGGCTATCTGGGAAATACTCGTAATGACACCTGGCGTGTAGACGTGTGCAGCAGGGGTCATGTGAACGGAGAAGTCGGAGCTCGTATCCTTCCTGAGCTGGTTCTCACGGAGCGGGGTCAACACTGCTGAGGGTGCGCGGACGCACTGAAGTCCCACTGTAACCGCCGAAGGTGTTTGCGAATGGCAATACTGGCCATATTTCTCCAAGAATTCTCGATATTGACTTGGTTCTATTCTCTGTTTTAATTTCCTGGCTTTTAGGATTACGGGACAGTATGACACAGATAGGAGAGGTGTTTTTACATACTCACAGGCCTCTGAAAACTTGGAGCCCAGCCTGAAACAGCCTGGGCCTCCCAAATAATCATGATCAAAGAAAAACAAGAACAGGAGACAGGTTCACAGATCTGCACCCTCCACTTAGTACTGATGATGGCAGCGAACATTCTCGAGAGCTTACCATACGCAGACCCGGCTGTGAACAATGACATACAGTGTCATTTAACCCTTGAAAAAATCCTACGAGGTGGTACTATTATCGTCATCCATTTCACAGGCAGGAAACTGAGGCGCCCGGAGGATATGTAAGTTTCTCGAGGTCCCGAAGCCACTCCCTGGGGGCTGGTATCGGAACAACACTCCAGCGCACAGCCGTCCTCACGCTGATGGGCGCGTCTCCTCGCGAGACGTGAACGTCCCCCTGGAGTCACTCCGGGGACCCCCACCCCACGGGCAGAGCCTGCTCCGCGGCTGCTCACGGGGAGGCCCATCTGGGCCTGTGGACTCGGGACACAGGCTTGGGATACCTGGCCCGTGAGTTAAATATTTCAAAATAAACATTAAAAGAACATGGAGACTTCTAAAACCTTGGATAACATTATAATACGAAAGGCCTGGCATCACAACATGTGGTGACAGGGAGACACAGACAAAGGACAGATACTGACAGCTCGGAAATTAAGAAAGTACTGAGTTCCCGTCTTAAAGCAAGGTGGAAAGATACACGGTAGGGTCGCCGCCGGAAACACCCGCACGCAGAACGAGCCTGAGGCCTCTGGGGTCGCTGAGAAGGGGGTCGGTCTGCAGGCTCGGAGGGGGCCTCCGTGGACGAGGAACAGCATCGCTGGGCTGTGAATAAACGGAGCCCCACGGAAACTTCCAGGCTCAAAAACGTGTGGGTGCTGACACCCTGCTGAGCTTCCCAGGGCAGAGGCTGCAGACAAGGTGACTGTCCCGTGTCTCCTTTGCCTGCCTGGAAGGAAACGGTGGCCCTTCTCCCCTGGCGGCACTGGTGCTGGACACCTGCACCTCTGCCAGCTGGTTCCCCGACGGGGGAGGGTCTGCTCTGGCCTCGCTCTCCGACCTGAGCTGGCTGCACGACCCCGCCCGGTGGCGGCGAACTTCTCCTGCAGTGAGCAGTTTGGACCTGGCTGGTCGCACAGTCTCGGATGCAACCACTCGGCTCTGCTGTCCCCACTCCAGTGGGTAAGAAAGAGCCACAGCGACTCGGCGGCAAGGCAGTGTGGCTGTCCCCACAGAACTTCACTCGGGGGTGCTGAGATGTGCGCTTCGCGTAGCTGACGCCACAGATACTACTGATTTCCCAACCATCGCGAAATGCAGCGCTCACTCTTAGCTCAAGGGCCAAC